AGCCCTGTCATCATGTGCTTGCCTGACCCTCCCCAGCTAAAGCAGCATGGAAGGCACTGTAGGAGGTGGAAAGCCTTCTCTTGAGTCCTAATTGGAGAATGGACTGGACCGGTACCCAGGGTGCCAGGCAGAATCTGGTGAGTCTGCGGACGGGAAGTGTGAAGAGCTCTTTATCCCCTCTGCCCACCCTGCCCCCGTCATCTCTTCTTTCCTCAGCCGCTCACACTCCCCTCCCCGACACAGCTGACCCTTACTTTTCACCTTGATGGTTGAATAGCTGGTGACATTCACTGGCTGGGAAGTCCAAGTCTAGCAAAGCCAGGAATTCCTCCATCCCTTCCGCAGAGAGGGAACTGGAGGCAGGAAGCAAAGGAATCCACGTGTCTATGGCAGCCCTCCCTGTACCACCTGGATGTGCTGGCATCTCCCCAAAGGGCTGCCTTTCCGGGAGCCGAGGAAATCCCAGAAGCTGTGGCTTCAGGCCGCAAACAAGGGAGGAGATCTGGCTTCTCTTCCTCTGCCACCCGGCTGCAGTGCCCACCCAGGGCCTGGTTGCTGCCAAAGCCAAGTGACCCTGAGCTCCCCCGGCAGAGCGCTCCCTCTCCATCCCACCTCCTCCCAACAGATTGCCCCCGCTGACAAGGGGCTCATTCCTTCTCACCCCTGGAGGCGACCAGGCCGTGCGAGGACGAGCACCCCCGCGAGGGAGGCTCAGGATCCGAGCCAGTCGAGTGCAGACAATCTCGGGAGACAGATGGCCAGACGGATGGGCCGGCAGATAGAGGCTCCTGCTCCTTGTCAAGATGACACTCAAAAGTACATCCCCGTCATCACAGGTTGTCAGTGGCGTGTCAGCGCGAGATGCCGTGTGTGTTTTTGGACACTCTGTGAGTTTGGAAGGCTGAGCTGGTTCCCACTTCCATGGCAACGACAAAATTCCAGCCCCAGACGCGAGTCTTTGACTTAGTGTCAGACAACGGGGGGGAGTGGCAGGCAGAGAGGGTGTCACTCCTAGCAGAGAGCAGCACTAGGGTGCAAGGGTGGGCAGGAGGCAGGTTTCTCGATGTCTGTGGGGAGACCGCATGTGGGCACCAAGTGACAGAAGGCAGGAGCTGATGGCTGAGCAAACGGGAGATGCAATCTGTCAGTTTGAGCAAACGGGGGGCAGGGGTTTCCTGAGCACTGGTCCGTTCCAAGACACCTGAGGGTCCTCTGAGTTCGGAAGAAAACCCCTGCCGGTTCAAACTTTGAAGTAGAGCAAGGGATCTGATGTTCTCGTGGCTACTGGACTCCAATTAAAAATAAAGGGGAAAAAATGTAAGATTCTCCAAGGACAGTTAGAAGACACGAAATCACAAAATACATATGCCCCTCTTTGACTAAGGCAGCTAAATTTATCCAGACTCTGAAAATACGCTTGTCCACACATGAATGGCTGAGGCTTTGAGCAGCCAGAGACAAGAGGGCTGGGGGCTGTCACCCCTTCACAGTTTCGTCTCTTGTCCTGCTTTCTCTGGTCAATCACGGAAGTCACTGAATCTTGGAATTCTAGATCGGAAAGCCTGTTCCTAGGCTGAGCCCTGCAGACCACTAGCAATGTGACCTGAGATCAGTCACTTTCTCTCCCAGGGTTCCAGTCCCTCCTTACAAAACGAAGACACCCTGAGACGGGACAGGGTCTTGCTACATGAACTTGACCATGGGGCTGGTGACAAGGGATCTTCTTTGGTCAATGAAACATCAGCCAAGTCTGGGGAAACCGCCAACCCCAAACCCCCTCCCCAGAGTCTCCAGAAGTCCCAGCAGCCCAGGCAACACTGTAGCCCAGTGAGGTGCATTTTGGATCTCTAATCTCTTAATAAATTTGTATTGTTTCAAGCCACTAAGTTGTGGCTGTTGTAGCAGCAATAAGAAACTAATACAGTCCTCTGCAACAGCACTGGCCGGAAGACATAAAAACAGCCAATAAGCACATGAAAAGATGTTTACCATCATTAGTGATTAGGGAAATTAAAATGAAAACTTGGACAAGATACCATTCACACCTACCAGGATAGCTATAATTTATTAAATGGAGTATAACCAATGTTGACAAAGATGTGAAGTAATGAGCACACTTGTACATTGCTGGTGGGAATATAAAATGATGCAGCTGCTGTAGAAAACAGGTTGGCTAATTCCTCAAGAAGTTAAATATGTAATAACCATGTGACTCAGGAATTCCACTCCTGGGTGTGTATCCAAAAGAATTGAAAACAAGAACCTAAACAGAAACATGTGCCAGTGCCAAGGCAGCATTATTCACAATAGCCGAAAGGTGGAAACATCTTGTATGTCTGTCAACAGATAAATAGATAAACAAAACGCAGTCTAATACATCTGATGGAATATTATTAAGCCGTAAAAAATGAAATTGTGACACATGCTACTACATGAATGAAACTTGAAAACTTTATGTTAAGTGTAATAGCCAAACACGAAAGGATAAATATTGTATGATTCCACTTATATGAAATATCCAGAAGAGGCAAAATCAGAGAGACAGAGGGAGATTAGAGGTCACCACAGGCTAAGGAGAGGGGGGAACTGGGAGTTATTGTTTCACGGTACACAGGTTCTGTTTGGGGTGATGAAAAGGGTTTAGAAATAGTGGTAATGATTGCACAATGTTGCAAATGTTTTAAATTTTAAAAATTTTAAAAATGGTTAAAATGACAAATTGTATGTTTTATATATGTCATTAAAAAAAAAGGACATAAATGAATTTATTTCCAAAACAGAGACAGACTCACAGACATAAAAAATTAACTATGGTTACCGGGGGAAAGAACGGGGGAGGAATAAATTAGGAATTTGGGATTAGCAGATACTATTATCTATGAAATAGATACACAACAAGGCCCTACTGTATAGCACAGGGAGCTATATTCAATACCTTGTAATGGCCTATAGTGAAAAATAATATGAAAAGGAATATTTATACGTGTAAGTGAATCACTATGCTGTATACCAAAAATTAACACAACATTGTAAATCAACTATACTTCAAAAAAAAAAGAATTAAGAAGAGGAAAAGTGCATTGGGCTTGAGACCAGAAGCCAGAAGTGTGTGGCCTGGAGGAGCGGAGACACTCTAGGGTGGTGGGATGAGGACTTGATGGCCCAGTCCTGCCAAAGTCACGCGGTGAAGGAACCTGAGAGCCGTGCTAGAGATCCTGGGCTGCTAGAGGGTGCAGTGCATTTAGCTGCTGCTATGATTGCTGGTCTTGCTTTTACTCGAGTGTGGAGAATGGACGGACTTAGAAACCACAGGCATACAGCCCATTGGGTACAGGAGGACAAATAAGAAGCCACTCAGGCCTGACGTAGGGCAGGGACAGTGGGGCAGGCAGGGAGGGGACAGAGAGTGTCTCTGTGACTCAGGGCAGAATAGAAGACGAGGGTGAGAGAGAGCGAGGAGTTGAGGATGGCTCTCCAAGAAGCGGTCTCCTGGCTTCTTCCCACATGAACAGGCCTGAGGCTCAGAGAGATTAGGTGGCTGGAAGGACAGGAAACAGGCAGTGAGGATCAGAACTGACTTCCAGTACCTTGCACTCTGACACATCACTTGAGTCATATAATTTAGGTTTTAATTTTGTTTGAAAGATCGGCGTGCCATTGACTCAGTTTGGAGTTGGCGCGATCCTTTCGTTTTCTCACTGACTTTATTTTCGTTTCTAACTCCTTCAAGCCACCCCGCTCCATGAGGCCACTCGCTGGGTAAAGGGGGTTCTGCCCAGTTGAGCCGTGGCTCCCTGAAGCTCTTCTTTTCCCCGAGCCCTCCGTCCCCTGATTGCAGACTTCCTATTTCTGCCCTCCGCAGGAGAAGCGTGAGCCCCACCAGGTCAAGGAGAAGTATGTAGATGTTTGTAAATTAATTTCCACAGTTTCATCATTGCTAATCTTGTCTGGGTTTGTGATTACAGGCCAATGACATATTAATTAGTCACTGTAATTAGCAAGTGTCAGAGGGGGTCCCGGCGCTCCACGTTGCACACACAGGGGGCTGCCTTTGATAGCGGGGTCGACCCAGGCCAACCTGCCTCCTGTCAAAATCTACCTCTATTCAGTCCATCATCCAAGCCAAGACACATTGTGCGCGTCTTATACATGGACCCCCTTCTCAGCATAAGCAAGAGCCCCCTGGTGTTTATTCTATATAAATGGAGATATCGAACGATATGATGGGTGATGAGTTAATCAGGGGAATACACAGTGATGCAGGGAGTCCAGAGAGGCTGGAAAACAGAATCCACATCTCAGCCCTTCCAAGGCCTGGTTGTGACATCAGGCGAGTCACCTCACCTGTCCCGTTGAAGCCAGGGTGGGAGAGAGTGTCTTCCTACAGCACGTGTTACTTGCTGTCATTTGAGTCATCACTGTCCCACAGACCTAAACAGATCCTGTGCTCTACAGTAAATCCTCGTTTATCTGTTTTATGTACAGTAGCGTGTATCTGTTAATCCCACACTCCTAACTTATCCCCCTTTTCCCCTTTGGGGACAGTAAGTTTGTTTTCTATGTCCATGAATTTCTTTCTGTTTTGTAAATAAAGCCATTTGTATTATTTTTTAGATTCCACATATGAAGGATATCACAATATTTGTCTTTCTCTGTTTAACGTATGTCGTTTAGAATGATGATCTCTAGGTCCATCCATGTTGCTGCAAATGGCAACATTTCACTATGTTTTATGGCTGAGTAATATTCTATTGTGGGGTGGGGGGTGTGTGGGTGTGGGTGTGTACCACATCTTCTTTATCCATCCATCTGTTGATGGACAGTTAGGTTGCTTCCGTGACTTGGCTATTGTAAATAGTGCTGCCGTGAACAACGGGGTGCAGGTGTCCTTTTTGAATTAGAGTGTTCACCTTTTCTGGATATACGCCCAGGAGCGGGATGGCTGGATCATATGGTAAGTCTATTTTCAGTTTTTTAAGGCATCTCCGTACTGTCCTCCATAGTGGCTGCGCCAATTTACATTCCCAGCAACAGTGTAGGAGGGCTCTCCTGCTATAGAAACATTCTTAACCAGAGAGCTACATGGCTGGCTCTCACTTCTGTTAGGCAGGTGTCTGGCCAAACTTCACCTTCTTAGAAAAGCCTTCCATGACCTCCACAAAAAACTGACAACACCCCTCCACTGCCTATTCTTTTTCTGCATAGCTACATCATTAACTGATGTATTTATTATTAACACTTATCATCCATCTCCCTGCCCTAGAATATAAGCTCTAAGAAGGTAAAGGGTTTTTTTTTTCATTTTTATTCGCTGTTATATCCCTAATCCCACATAATAATCCCTCAATAAGTCATTGCTAAATGAATGGATGAGTGAATAATTGAAATTCTGAGAGGTAGCCATCTAGACACAGGTTGTGCAGCTCCTGGAAATATCACTGCCTCGTACTCGGGACCACATCATAACCTGACATTCCTCCAGCACGGGAGGGAGACAGGGAGGGAGGAAGGGCCCACGTGAGCTTGGAGAATTTAAAAGTGCACAGCCTCCCTACGTCTGCAAACGGAAGCAATCCCTTTCCTGGTTCCCTCGTGTTGCTTCTTAAGTGACTCAAAACGCCCTCATTTTTATTCTCTTCCTGGGTGTCCTCCTCTTCATCGTCATCTCAGCAGTGCAGTCCCACCACACCTCCAGCCCAAACAGACAACCTTCAAAGTCCTAAGAGCCTAGAAGTGGCTGAACCCCTGGACAATTTTCTACCACGGATCCAAGCCTGGGAAGCAGCGGGTTAACAGCGTAATCTCCTCCTTGCATTAGGTTCCTAAGCGGACTCTACACCCACCTTCCCCCGGAAAACATATGCTGAGTGTCAGAGAGATCGGCCGTTTTGCTAAACCATCCAGAAAAATAGGCAAGGCTGATAACCTCCCTGTGAAAAAGAGCATGGAAAATCAGTATCAGCATCTTACAGACTGCAGGGGATAGGCTGGTAGAGAAAAAAAAAATGGGGATCGACTGATGAAACAGGGCATCAAAAGCAGACCATTTGGTCCACACAAAAGTCCACTTCCACCAGAGTGAACTGCGCTCACTGCAATCACGGGAAGTCATTCCACCGCGATAGTCTCAGCTTAGAGTATCCATACTGCTCAACAGTGATACATCCTTCCAAGGGCTCCTTGCTTCCCAGTTCTCTATATTTTCATGGCATCTCGTAGCTTTTTAAAAATAGCCATTGTTGTCTAAGATGCCCTTTTACACTTGCAAAGAATTTTTCCTTCAGGTGATTTTTCATTCCACAGACAATTTGGTGGGGAGAGGTGTGTAGATTTCTCTCCATTTTTCTAAGAAAGAAACCAAGATGGAAAATAAGGAAAAAAGTACACATACTAACTATCCATCGCCTCGATGTGACACTTTACAAATCATGAGATACTTTTTGTATGCATTATTTCATTGATTATCCATACAAGCTAAGTAAGGTAGGAAGATACAATTAGACCCATATTATATATAAAGAAACTGAGGCTCAGAAAATAGCTAATTTAGCTACATTCCCACATTGGTTAGAGTGCACTTTCAAGACTCAGACTTAGATGTTAAGATGTTGAGATGTTAAGTACATTATTCTTTCCACCATACATAGCTGGGCCTCTATTCAATTCAACTTTAAGACATTATATGCTATTTAAATATATTCTAAAATGGCCATGAGCTATGCAGTGTGGACGGGGCATGAGCTGGAAGCCTGCAGAATGTAGATGTAAGTTGCATGTTAGTGTCAAGCCAGCTTGCCGGAGAGACTTCTCCCCAGACAAGGCTGGTCACCATGCACTGTCTCCTTCCCCGTAAAGAGTCAGTCTCTCTCTCCTGCAGAATGGGACTTGGTGGGTGGACAGAGAGGCTTCAGCGCCAGTTAGCATCACCGCAAAACCAACATTATCAAAAGGTTCAGCCAAACCTATAGAACAATTTGTGGATCAGGACAGGTGGGCTACACTGCGTCCCCAGTGGCAGACTGGCCTGTGATAAATCCCATCCTTACCACTGGGGCCTCAGACAAGCTGTCTGATGCCACTGAGCCTCAGTTTGCTCAGCTGTGAATGGGGTACTATTTGACTTCTCTCCAGAGTGTATTGTGATGCTTCAGAAAAGTGACAGACGTGGAGCATCCGGCTTTAGTTCCAGACCACAGACGGTGCTCAAGAAGTGATTGCTTCCTTTCTTCTCTCTTATGGGCAGTAGAAACTAGGAGACAGGAGCTGACAGAACATTGGATTCTCATTTGCTAACCTGTTTAATGGGACATGCAATTCCTATCCGTGTAGTCCAGTGGCTGGCCTGTGATAATGTGGGTTCTGTCTGTGTCTACTGAATCAGATTGGTAGAAAGGCCCTCCATCTGTTTGTATAGCTGTCTCTCTGTAGCCCTCTCAACAATTAATAAGTAGCCCAAAGGGAAGGAAACTTCCCTTGGTCTTTACTTAGGGCACGTAATAGAAGTCAATCCACAGGCAAGCTACCTGTGTCCACATTTGGGGCATAGCAGAATAGAAAGAGCCACAGGCTGGAATCAAGGGTCCTGGGCTCCCTCTTGATATCACCTTGAATGTGCTGTGCCTCAGTTTTCTCATCTGTAAAAAGGGAATAATAATCTCTTCCTCCATAGCAGAGACAGTGTTTGGAAGCAGGATGTGAAATGCAGCACCTGGGTGACACTAATATTACTAAAAAGGCTGGGTTGGTTTTCAGTTTCCCATGGGGCGCCCGCGGTATGTCAGGAGTCCCCATCCTACATCCCACCCCCACCCCTCTGCATGACTTCTTGCTCCTTTGTGAAGCCCTGGAGCTCTGGCAAGGGGCTCTGAAGCCTGCCGGGAGAGAAAGAAGCTCCTGTAGCCAAAGAGCTGCACCTTTTGAGTGAGCCGCTAAACAGATCAATTTATAGGTCAATAAACACGGGCAGATGGAAGGCATGGAGTCTACTGCCTGGCTGGAGAGGACCTGGGCTGGCTCCACCCCTGGCGTTTCACTGAGGAGGAGGCGGGACGTGGGCGGGCGGAGAGTGCAGGGAGCAAGAGCCTCAGGTGCAGACTCTGAGCTGGATCTCCAGCCCCGAGGGAGTGCGCACCTGCCCCCACCTCCATTCTGTGAAGGGGCGTCTAGGCAGGAAACCCAAACCAGAACGATGCTGCAGAACAGGGCGGAAGATCTCGGCTTCCCGTGCCCTCACCTGGAAGGGAAGAAGCCGCGGGTGCCCAGAAGCCCCCTCCCAGAGCCTGTGCCGAGGCAGGGAGAGCAGGAGCGCTGGTCCTTCTCAGAGACTGGAGCCGCAGCTGGTGACCCACTTTGAGGGGGCTGTGCCTCTTTAGAAAGACTCATTGGTCAAAGACACTGCGGGCTGCAGCTCTACTCTTTCCAAAAAGCACTTTTTATAAAACAAGAGACATTATTTAAGCAAGAGTTGGGAGAAGCCAAAATCCATGTCGCTGAAAGTCTTTTTCCCTCACCAAAGACTGAGCCCATGCCCCCGCCAACCCTCACACCCCACACCTAGTTCCTTTAAATGGAGAGCTCCCATGATGCAATTAATATGACTTTGCGGGGGGGAAATTGGATTTCTAAGCAATTTGCAATCAAAAGCAGGTGATCCAGTAGTGGAGTGAGAAACCCCAGCTGCTCCCTCCCGCCCTCCAGCCCCATCCCCTACCTGTCCCCATGCAGGACCCAGGGCTGGACTTGAACCTGCTTGCTGCCTCACTGCATGCGGAGTTTTGCAATCTCCTGTCACAGACTTCAGGGCACACCCACCACCCTGACAGCACAGAGCAGGACCTCAGAGTCATGGAGCCAAGCGAAGACCTGCTCTCCCCCTGCCTGTCAGCTGCCTGGTCCGACCATGCTCCCATCAGAAGCTGGAGATGTGACACATCTACTCGTATGTCAGTGGCAGGGGGACACCAGCATATCAGGGCGCAGGCAGCTGATAAGCAGGCCATTTGTTCCTTTTTAGTGGAGTTGGGGGATGCAGCGTAACAGCCGCAAAAAGCACAGAAAGGCTTTCTTCAAAAGCTTAGCCTTCCACCCCTCCATTCAGCATCATGTCAAATCCAATGAGGGGGCAAAAAAAAAAGTCCAGGGAGGGAAAACAGTTTTAGCTAGTGAAGCCACCATTGGCCCCCTTTCTTCAGAGAAGCCCCCCTCTCTCTGGGTCCTTGTGTGATTCACCCTCTGTCTGCATGACTCTGCTAAATCCCAGCGGATGAGGCCAGGAAGGAGGCAGGGGTCACATGGTCATCACAGCTTTGTGGCTCTCCTGCCACTTCTCCCTGCCACCCACTTGCCCCGTGAGAGGATGTTTCGTGCTTGGCTCGGCGGGACCACCACGGAGCTGCTGAGTGATGCGGAGAGAAGCCAGCCCCTCCACTCAACGCCCACTTTAAGAAGTGTGGGATACACGTTCGCCTTGCTCTCCTCCTCGGGAGGAAACAGTCCTGAATGTCTGTGTCTCCTTTGTCATCTACATTCTAGCTACGAAGAGTCCCAGCTACCTACCCGGCCGATGGGCAGAAAAGATGTATTTACTCCAAAAGGCACCAAGTTTAAAAATAGAGAGAATAGATAGCTACCTACAGGGGGTGGTGATTTCAGAGGTCCAGGAAAGCTCGCCCCACAACCTGACCATTATCTCCCTCGATCGAATGACTAATGGCTTGAAATCCCACCATTAAAGTCTCATTCTTTTGTTTTGGGCGCTGCTCAGCTACAAATACCCAGGTTAGACAATACTCCCAGTTGCCTGGGGCATTTGAACTTCAGACAGAAGCACAAGAGATTTTTACTTGATATGTAATTTTTGGTAGAAGTAAAGAAAGCAAATCTGTACAGGAAGGCGCTTCCCTGAAGGGATGCAGATGGAGGCAGGGCTGGCAGGGGTCGACCTCACCCTCATCAGTGACCTGCCTCCTGGGGAGCTGGGCGGGCTCTGAGGACCGAGGGGTCCACCATCTGCTTCAGCGAGGATGCACCCTTCTCCTTACCACAGAGATGGCTCTCGGGAGGTGGAAGGGCGAGGCTCAGGGAGAGAGACGCGTGGCCACCAAGTTGCCAGGAGAAAGCACTGAGCTTTCCAGAGGCAGGGCAGGGGAGCCACCCCCTGGCGCCCCCCTACCGCCCCCCTGGCAGGATGCTCGGCCTCCCGGTGCCACCCACTTGAGCTGAGCGCCTGACAAAGCTCTCAGCCACCCTGGGCATTTGCTGACATATGGCCCCAGCCATTTCCCCTGCTTCCTTTCCTCCGTCTCCGTATAGAATCATATGCGATTAATTGATTTTCTGTCACTCTTTTAGTACAGAAAATTAATTTCAGAGCAACCTTGTTTTCTCAGGGTATGAATCCTGTACACGCAGAGTAATTCAGCTGCTCCATTATTCATGAGGGAAAATAGTGATGGAGAACGCGACGGAGACGCCCCAAGGCCACAAACGGATCGTCTGTGTTACCGATACAACAGTATTCCACCGGCACCACTAAATAATTCACACCCACAGCTCCGTCTGGGCCTGCGCGCCGCCCGCTCGGGATGTGGCTGGGGAGAGGCCTGGCTGTGACATCTGGGACACTGGCAACGACAACACGCAGAGGCAAAGCCCCCAGGGCCTCGGGATGCTGTGGGCGATGGAGGCTGGGACCGGGCCCCTTACAGCGTCTCTCACATCACAGCTCACACATCTCTAAGAGGGTGACAGACGTGTCATTGGGCCCCTGAGAGGGAAACGTGAAAGCAGGCCCTTTAAACTCCAAATGTAACTCTAAAGAGGCCAAGCAAGACACCCTGGCCGTTCAGATTAAGCAGGTCAGCTCATCTCTCTGGGCTTCAGATTTTAAGATTTTCTGTTTGTTTGGCTTTGTCTGTTTTCAGCCTAGCCATTCGTCAACTTGTCTGAGGCAGTTGTTAAAAACAGAGATTCTTAGATGCAAAGCAAAGCTCTTGAACCAGATCTCCGGTGAGTTCGTGTTTGCCACGAGCTCTCCTCCCAGGGACAGCTGCACTGGGTGAGGCCCACGGACCTCTCCATGTCTGCCGCTCTCCGAGGATCCTAACAGTGAGCTGCACCAGCCCAAGCCTGTGCTAGGAAGGGCTTTAGCCTCGAAGGGCCCTGGTAACAAACGGAGCAAATGGGAGAAGCAGAGGGAAAGGAACCTGGCCTGGCATGTAACACAGCTCGTCAGCCAGGACTCACGTGGCTGAAGACAGTGAAAGGACATGGGTCTTCGTTGCCTCCAAAAGAAAGACAGAGGCCCCAAGTGCAACATCCAGACCATCTCGGAATGGACACGTGCA